GTTCACGGTTGATTTAATTACAAAGTCTGCACATTGTTGTACAGATAAATTGTGCTCACACACTCTCTGTTTTCCTTCCAATCAGTCTCTGCTCCTCCCTGTGCAGGCTTGGGGGTTGATGGTGGGGAGGAGGAGGGGGGGGGGCAGAGCTAGGTTCTTCATCTGAGCCTGAAGGATGACCTCATGGGGCCGGCTGCTACCATCATCGTTTCAACAGGGGTTAATGGGAACAGTATGCGTCTTCTGAGAGTGTGTGTGTATGGGTGTGTGTGTGTTTCTTTCTTTCTTTACATTTTACAAAAAATAACCTACTCACTTTTAATTCAAATGAATATATTTTGAACATTTTAGAGGCTGCATGATGGCACAGTGGGTAGGGCTGTTGTCTCTCAGCAGAAAGGTTGCAGGGTCGAATCCTGGTGTCGGAGTAAATCTCTCGTTCTCTGATGTTGTTTACTCAAAAGAACCATTCTCACGGCAGGTGGAGACTTTTGCAAGGTCAGATTTCAGGACAGGTTACGCACATAATGAACATACTGTAGTGAACTTGACCTGATGTCAAAACTTGACCTTAGGATCATATGGTCAGAAACTGTCATTTCATTGATTTGCATCCAGAGATACAGGTTGACCCATCCTGAGACTTTCTTTCTTGAATTAATCAAGTGGAAAAAGACAATTCTCTATGATCATTACTATTTTACAAATGTTTTGATAATCAAATTGTGTTAGTTCAAACAATGTTTACATGTTGAAGTGAACTACTCATTTTTATTTACTTAAAACCGTAAGAATGATTTTTAATCCTCATTCAAAGAAGAAATCAGGTTAATATGCATTTCTTGATTTTCTGTCTTCAATGAGCAAAGTTTGTAAGTGTGTCAAAGTTCAAGTTTCGGTCAACTGAAAGTTTACTGAAAAGAAATGTCATGTTTAACTTTTACAGCGAGATACTGGGAGAGGTGACTCCACGAAGTCTGGTTTTTCCATGATATCTTTCTGTCTGTTCTTAAACAATCTGAATCTTTTCCTTGACTTTTAATAACACCTTACATCACAAAACACACCTCTGTTGGGGTCCATCGACCAATCAGAGGCTCTCAAATGAACCGGAAGTAGAGCCCATTTAAATGTTGGCACTTCCTAGTTCACAGAGAGAGTTTTGGGAGTTCCAGAATGCAGAACGCTGGAATTCAGGATGCTGCTGAATCAAGCTGAACCAGAGACGATTTGGGGATTTATAACTTCTGTTTGGATAACCTCACGACTCCAGGGGTTTTTAGCTGTTCTCACGGAGACGCTGAAAGAGTTGAAAGGAGAGCTCTACAACAACGCTGAACTATCGTCTGCAAGGTAAAAAGTTCTATTCTCAACCAAGCGTACCGTTGGCCCAAGCTGATTTCCAAAGGAGCGTGTTGTTCTGGTTAAAACAGACAAATTCCCTCACACATCTCTCTGTAGATAAACCTCATCTTTCCATCTTTAAACTCTCCTATCTGCTAGCAAATTAATCCAGATGTTTTCAGAAATGTCTATGGTGAAGCAACGGAAAATCATGGCCGTATGGTTTTCCTGGTTGTAAAGCTGATTAATTATGTCGTTATTTTTCAATTCTTGCCAATTAATGTAAATGTGTGATGTGTTAAACTTGATTCTGTTAATAAATGACCCACTGTCGTGGTGAGTCAAAGATAATTAACGTCTCACGTCCACATTTTATTAAATTCAATGCACGACATCATTCAGTCCAGAAAAATGAATGAACCCGTTTAATGTATAATATATCTCAGGATATGTCATACTACAATACATAAATGCATGAAGACCAGTCACAGAAAAGAACCATGATATCTGCTCGCGTTTAAGACATTACCAGCTCAGCAGAGTTCAGCAGAGTTCAGCGGGTGTCCTTGAAGCCAGCTGCAACATCACATGACACTCTTTGTTTGCACTAACATATGGTTCATGGGCATTAAAAACACATCCTTCAGTATAAAAATGTGTTTTGGGAGACAGCCGAGCTCCTTGTTCTCAGGGCAGAGGGGAAGAGTGTTCACAGCCACAATAATAAAACAATAAAAAACAGCCATATTCTTTGGCCAAAAACTCTCTGACACCTGGCTTCTCTGAATCTTTGTGTACCGTACATGTGGGGTGGGGTTTTCTCCATCAGTACTCCTGTTTTTTCCCTCATACCAAAAACATGCATATAAGGTTAATTATGTACCCACTTCTCTCACAGTCACTGCTGGACACGGCACCCAAAACCAAGAAATGCAGAAATGGGTAAAGATAGTGGATAAATGGATTTGTGTCAGTTTCTTTGCAAATCATTTTATGTGATTGAATTTGCTTGTGACACACAAAGTTCCTGTTCTGAGGAACTCTTGTGGTGATGTGACCTCTATCCTAAGAAATTAAACATTATATATAAATACATAAATTATTTCCTTGATTCATAGTTTTTTTAAATGTAACAAGTGTTTAGTATGGGTGTTATATGTGCCTACTGACTGAAACAAATTGCCCCTTGGGGATAATAAAGATTCTTGAATTTGAACTTGAACTGAAGCGTTATCCTCCCTGAACAGTTTATGAATGACAACTGATGTGTCGAATGTTGTGTTACTCAAAAGCACATGAAGCAAAATAGCCCTAAGTTAATTGTAAGCAACAAACCCAAAGCGTAAAGTGCAGGTGCAAGTAACACATTGAAACAGTATTTATTCAGTAAAGGAATAGGTGATTAAATTGGAAGTATTTAATTGCTTTTACATCTCACATTATTTTCTTTAAAACAGCCAAACCCGCTTATTCTGATGGTTAAAAAAAAGTTGAGTTCAAAATAAAGCATTTGTGCAGTTTAAACATCATCCAAATTTCATTTCTTATTGTGTATATAAAGCAAAATGTCTGCTCCAAAGCTAAACAATTCAAGTAGACGTTAGCTGATGGAGCATTTGGCTGAAAAGCTCAAGAAGAGGTGTTAGACTTGTTATACATTTTCCAACACATGGCCGCAGGCTCTGTGCAAAAAAGGAATACAATACTTTTTTAGAGCTCACTCTTGTAGAGAAAAATGGGTAATTTGGTCTAGTTTTGATTTCATTATCTATCCAATTTATGCAAACATTTTTTTGTCTGTTAAAAAAAAAAAAGCATGGCCATACATTGTGTGAGATATTTCTTCTTATGTGGTTTCCCCAAAAGTGATAGCATGGTAAACTAATAGGCTGGGCAATCATTATTTAGGTCAAAGTCAAGGTTTCTTTATTGTGGTACATGTGGTGGAACGAAACTGTGTACACAGGGTCCCAGTTACATCCAACAAAAGTATAAATTGTAAAGAAAAACAATAATAAGATCTAAGATATGAACTAAGAAATGCGCTAAGCACTAATAGTACAAAAAGAATACACCTTTTAGTTGCCTATTTACACCTATTTAGTCTTTACAATCAAAAAACATAAAATTAAATTTGATCTTGTTGATATTTAGGATTTATCAATAAAAAAAAAACCACCCACTATTTTGATCCATTTCTTTCATTTGTAATCAAATATGACTGAATTATTACCAGATTATTTTCCCCCAAACAGCCAAATCTTGATCTATACCTGATATTTTGTGACATTTTCATACATACCTTATTTAACATCTCGTCCAACTACACTGACGCAGCATAAGAAACTCAGATAAAAATTCTCACGTATGATTACAACACAAAATTCTTCCCCAGCTTAAAACATGTTTCTATCCTGCATGTGGATTTAAAGAGCTAAAAGTTCCAGACGCTGCTAATAAATTTACTTTAAATTCTTCCCCAAGCTGAACTGGTTTAGTTGTTTTAGAGGCAGAAGGCAGAAAGACTTCACTTGCTTCAATCATAACACCGACTACCTGCAGTCATAAACTGTCTTTTCTCGGCTCATTTACCCTCAAACTGACTGCAAAGACTCCTCTCTTGGCTGACAGCTGCCCAGTAGTCTTCTCAGCAGGTTTCCAGTATTTGCACAAGTAGTTGCACTGGAATGTCTGTGGGGTAATGTGTGAGCCATATGACAGCTATTTATCAAATACCATAACCCTCACCCAGCTTTGAATCAGACTGAAAGACGATCGCTTTTGGCTAAATGCTCTCTTCAAGTTTCTGTTTCCTATTTGAAATAAAACAGCAACACATTGGGACACATTTCAAGTATTTTTTTATATTGCTTAACTGGTTCACTGCTTTGATCAGGAAGAAATATTTCCACAGCAACAGACTGTCTGCAAAATATGACAATGTCAGCTTCATGTACAGTACAATATGCATGATGAGGTAATGAGTAGGTTATAAAAACAAGATATCAAAATAAATCTCACAATGTGCTCAACTTACTGTTCTGTGTTCTGCTTCATATATAGTAGTTTTCCTTCCACTACACAACTGTGCACCATTTTGTGATAAAATCCCAGTAAAATACTTGGAAAATTCACCACATAAATAGCAACACACTTTGAGATGTCTTGTGAAAAGAATAACCAAAGCCAAGAAGTTACAAAAATTCATTTTTAATTGAAATAAAAAAAACAATAAATGACAAAAAAATAAACTAAATATTGAACAAAAATCCTCTTTTAATGCAAACATGGTTAAAAATAAATATATATCTGATTTGTTATTTGTCACTAATGCGCAAGTTTTAGAAGAGCACGATGAACGTCCACACCACAGACCAGTGCAGCCGTTCACATGTTCTGTATTCGCTCTCATTCGTTTAGAATATGTTGATTAAAATATATGTACAAAGTGCATTAGTTATGATGCATTTAGATGAAACGAGCTTATGTTTCGATGTGTGAATCACTGATCTACATGTAAACTGTGACATTTTGTTTTGAAAACAGTTTTGAGAGAACAATAAGAGATGAAACTAACAGATTTATGTCTGACCTGAATCCAGACAACTTTGAATGTGATTACTGGAAGCTTTGCAATAAACTAAAGGTCTCTAGTGATGGTTGTTGATGAAACGGAGTGAAGGCGAATCAGTACAGTGATCCCACCAGTCACATCTGAAAGCCTGGAATAAAAAAATAATTCTGTTCCCTTAAAAGTCTCTTTTCTTTTTAGTTTTCTCAGATGTAAGCCATTAGATGGTTTAAAGCTGTGAACAAGGTTTCTAATGAACTCCAAACCAGCTGCAGAGTGCAGATCCAAACAGCAGTAACGCCGCCTGTGCTACCCTCTCTGACCCGCTGGCTAGCTGCACTTGCTTGCTGTTGTGCATTGAGTAGGAGGGTTGTGTTTCTCCTCCGCTGCAAAGCACCATGGGACTCTGAAAGGAGTTGGGCCTCCGCAGTGGGCGGTCAGGACTAGACCCATCAGTTGGTCTCTCTCCAGTGAACAGCAGTGGGTGTTTCCTGGGGTCAAGCTCCATCTTGAAGAGCTCGTATTCCTTGTGTGGCAGTTTGATGCCCAGCACGGTGCACCCGTCTGTTGGGGTCAAGTCTTTTTCCACCCCGACCTCCCACCCTCCTGTCAAACCACACTTCCCTCGTTTTGTGCTGTTCAGCAGCTTGACAGTTGACTTGTCCATGGCTGTGACTCTTACCTGGGTCACCTTGAAGACAAACTCAAAAGCTCCTGGGATTTTGGAGGAGGGGTTCTCCTGGGCGTAGTGGCCCAGCGCTCTCAGGGTGAAAGTGGGCTGCGAGCAGGCGGAGTCGGAGTAGTGCTTGTAGATGCCTTCCCAGGCGTGCTGGCTGGGCTCAAAGGTGAAGTCACGTGTGAGGAAAAGTATGTTGGGACGGGTTTCACAGTGCTGGCTGACCCAGTGACCAGCCAAGGACAGAGGAACCGCAGGGCTGCAGGGCAACACAGGGGGACGCTGCTCCGTGGAGCGGTACACCAGAGCGCACACCGGACAGGGGTGGATGTGATGCTGCAAAATAAATGAGATGGAAGCTAATGATGTGCTTTTTGACATGGGATGTTTAAATTATTTTTTTAAATGTTTCTGATGATTGTAAATACACGTTTGACCTAACTTTTCCACTGCTTTGAATTTTCAAACACAAACACGGTCTGATCATCTGCAAATCTCACCATGGCGCTCTGCAGTGGCTGCTGGTACCCTGTGGGTCTGTGCTGGCTTCTCTGGGTCCAGTCTGTGTGAATGTCTCCCAGGAACAGCTCCTGGACCTTCGCTCCGTGGCTGTGGTGCTGTGTCTCCACTCGTACCAGACCCATCTCCATCATGGAGAAACCCATCGCTGACAGGCATGCCCTGCCTGCTCGGGTGTTGTGCAGCTCATACAGCTTCCCCGGCACAACACGGCCCAGGCTCAGACTCACGCAGGCAGAAGGCAGCCTGGAGGACAGCCTCATCTTGGCTGCAGGGCTGTGGACCACGATGCCCACTTTGCTGAGGTGGTGTTCAGCCTCGGTGCCCCCGCGGGTGATCCAGGAGGCCTGACTCAAACGGATTTTGCCTCTGATCATCAGGGAATAGGCTGGGTCTCCACAGTCGCTGTCAGCGTAGTAATGTTGCAGCACCTGGAAGTGACGGTGGGGGTGAAAGGTGTAGGAGCGGGTGAGGAACTCTGGACCGGGCCGGACCTCACATCTAATGACAGAAAGAGAGATTTCAAACTTGTCTTATATAAAGTCTCAAATCTTATCAAGTCTTTCTGAGCAAAACCATTTCATCACATTTAACACAACAATCAATTTAATATATTAACTTATAAATAAAAAAAAGTGTGCCAAAATAATCAGAGTAAAAGAAAAAGTAAACCATGGTTTTATTATATGCAGCCATTTTATGTCTCCATTGTGGATTTTACAAACCAGCACGTTTGTATGAATGTCATCCTTCGGAAGTCTTTTGTTGTCTTTTTACACCCGAATATATGTTTTATTTTTAATTGTTTTTGCTCATAGTTATTATCCAGCCATGTGTCATTCATTTTTATCTTTTTGTAATGCTTTGTCTTGTGAATGTTTGCGCCGCTGAGTGGCCAGAATTGTCTTTTTGTTGTCATTTACCATGTCACAAAAGTCTTTTTGTGTCTATTTTAGTTTATATGACATTGTTAAAAAGTGTAAGTGTTCGCCACACTTACAGCGCCTTAAAGTGTTTCACATGAGTAATACAAATATTTTCAGGAGCTCCGTGGAGTTCAGCATCTTGCACAGTAAACCTTCAGTAAATAAATAAACTGTACACACCTTCCTCTAATTCTCTGATTGGAGAACCTCGCCCTCTTCCAGTTTTAAGACTGGGCTTAAGACTTTCATTTTTGATAAATCCTATAATTGGGGTTGACTTGTTATGCTGTCTTAAGCTTAGACTATTGGAGGACAATTGACCTCATTTCCTTAAATGATTTGTTAAAATTGAATAGTTTTCATTTGATACTATTTCTATCTTAGCATGGATTCTTGACCTGCCATTGTGTATCTGTTCCTCCTTCCTGCCCTCTCAAACCCAGCCAGTCGAAGCAGATGGCCGCTTGTCCTGAGCCTGGTTCTGCTAAAGGTTTCTTCCTCATGAAGGAGTTTTTCCTTCCCACTGTCGCCTTCAAGCTTGCTCAAGATAAGAGTTCTGTGATGGAGTTAAACTCAAAGCAGTCTGCTCCTCAGATAAATAATGTTAAATTATTATTTTTATATATGAATATTTCTGTTCAGTGCCCTGAGACGACATCTGTTGTGACTTGGTGCTATATAAATAAACTGAATTGAATCTTACCAAGATTTAATTATTATTATTATTATTGTTATTAGTTATATATTTTTTTCAGTTTTAATTCTGTGAATCTTCTTTAGTTTTATTTATTTATTTTTAAATAAAACCCTGGCTTATCTGAAGACACAAGCTTGCTTTCTTAATGAAAACCACTTGAACCGAATCGTAAAGCTGTGCCCCACAAACCAAAGCAACAAGCTGAAAGATCCCAGTCAGGTTCTGTTAATCAGGAGAACCAAAGCCGATTTGCATCTGTGAAGATTTTCAATTAATTATGCAACATGTTTATGTACGTGCAGTTATTTAACAAATGGTCACATCAGTTACTGTGGTTCCACTGGGGGAGAAATAGATCTGGGTGCACAGACACAAACTTTTTCATCTCAGTTTATTTATTCATTTATTTGTTTATTCATCTTTGCAAATAAAGTTGAAACATATCATAATAAAAGTGGCATTATGAAATTTTTCGGCTGGCCCTGTATGTACCTTGTGGACACCCAGGTTCCATCCAGTCTGGGGGGGATGTCTGCTGTGATTCTCACTCTGTCCTTTAGGTGATGATAGTGGCAGCGCTCCCACTGCAGGCTCTCACTCACATTGGAGGAAGAAGAGAAAGGACCTGTGGGCACCTCCCAAAGTTTACTCGCTGCTCCAACCACAGTTACAGCTGCACAAGAGAAAGGACAGTCAGGGAGAACTGAGGTCAATAACAACAGTCTCCAGATATGCACATTAACATTCCAGATGTGTGTCTGCAGATGCATATCCACCTCCATCATCGCAAAATGAAGTAAAATATTTACAGTTTTGTTCCACTTACAACTAAACATGATTCTGTGTGAGTAAAATCTGATCCTGAGCTGTAAATTTGTCCCATTTTTCACGTAATAAATAAGAGTTGGAGCTGTAGAATCAATGCATGGTGTGAATTCAAAGGATCCAACTCCTTCAGCGAGGAGTTGTGGGGGCCTGCAGCTGCAGCACAAAGCTCTAGTTTTTTGGGTTTCCTCAGAGGCAGGAAGTGTGTGGAAGTTCCTGTGCGTGCTTTCTGTATATATGTGTCTTTCCAGCTCTGATATTGAACAAACAGAGGGTCACTGACAGCAGCAGGCCGGCAGAGCCAAACACATCTGTTGATAATATAATTTAAAACAAAAACGCTCATAATGATGAATGTCCTCGCTTGACTTTTCCCAAAAGCTGACAGGTAATCCACCTAAAAGCATTTTTCATCATTTAACAGTTATGAATCTTACATGTGCAGGTCTGCAGCCTGTCTGTCATTAATCGTAACTGGATTTATTTTTTAAGAAACGCGTGTGCTGTCGACACACCACTGCCGAGGCTGCGGTCTGGTTTCAGCTGAAGCACAGCAAGAAGTTTCTCTGTGAATTTATGCTCATGATTGCGACATAAAAACATCACGTGTGTGTGTGTTTTTTTTTTTTTTTGTGTGTATGTGTGTTGATGAAAAGTATACTGCTTCAGTTTCACCTCCTTAAATTAAATAAGTAGCATTACTTGAAGGAACACACATCACCTGCTGTCTTTTGTGTCACAGAGTTCAATTTAGATCTTATAATTTAAAGGGATGGACTTATAGCAGTTCTGGTCACACCTTGTAAATGCTTTTGTGTGTGTTTGTGTTGAGGACATTTCAACTTCTTCCACAAACAATAACTCAGCATGTGTAAATTGGTTACTGCACAGTCTGTTTTGTGTTAGCTAATTTGAATAGCTTTGGTGGCCATCTTGAATTGCGTTGACTCTAAAAGTTAATCAGTTGTAGATGAACTTTACTGATTAAGATCTGCAGGTTTCATTAAAATGTGTCCATGGTTCATGGAATCGTTTGATGGACAAAGTTGACTCTAAAGTTTTTGGCAAAGTTTCAGGAACAGATCTTGCACAGTTGGTTAGATATTGCTCTATAATCATAAAAAAAAATAAAATAAAATAAATGATATTGCTCTATAATCTGTAGATGACTCTCTGCTACCTTTTTTTGTTTTGTTTCGGCTGCTCCCTTCCTCAGGGGGTCGTCACAGCAAGGTGTTTTCAAACCTGATAGTCCAGTAGACTCAGTTAGATTGGGGACCAATATTCATAACATTTGTCTACATTTCAGCTGGTGCGGTTCACATTCAGGGCAGCACGGTGGCGCAACTGGTAGAGCTGCTGCCTCTCAGCGAGCAGGTCCTTGGTTCAAACCCTGGTCCAGGGGCCTTTCTGGGTGGAGTTTGCATGTTCTCTCTGTGCATGCGTGGGTTTTCTCCGGGTGCTCCGGTTTCCTCCCACAGTCCAAAAACATGCATGTTAGGCTGATTGGTAACTCTAAATTGTCCCTAGGTGTGAGTGAGAGAGTGAATGGTTGTTTGTCTCATTTGTCTCTATGTGGCCCTGTGATGGACTTGCGACCCGTCCAGGGTGTACCCCGCCCCTCGCACAGTGATTGCTGGACATGGGCACCAGCGACCCCCGTGACCCAAAATGGAATAAGCGGGTAAAGATAATGGATGGATGGATGGACGGTTCGCATTCACACTGCAGTCGAGCCATCTTGTTCTCCCGCTCGCCTGTGGTGGCGCTGCACAACGACTTACTGAAGGAAACAACACAAAAACCTCTGAAGAAGACACTTCTTCTTCTGCTGTAAATAATAATAATTAAAAAATGGAGTGGTGTCAAATTTGAGCGGTTTTAGGATTTTTGTTTTGTCTGCGGCTCATGTGCCAAACAAACATTTTCTAACAATGGACTCAGCATGAGTGAAAGATGAGGCAGAAGACCACGGAGAATGTTGTTTTTCACAAATGGCAGCTGACGGCTCTGTATGAGGTAAGAGAAATGCACGTTTGTTTGCCCTGCGCTGTGGTCCACTTCCTGCTTTTGGAGCGGTCTCCGGTCTGCTTGCATTCACACTGCATTCGAAATAAGCCTGAGTTTACTTCAACCGGACTGAGACCTAGGTTTTCAGATGGACCAGAGTTCACCTTTTTGGGCCGCATCCGTGTTCGATTGTGCATTCACACCTCCCCAAACGAACTGGACTTTCTAGGTAAATGGACTAGAGTTCGATTAAAGTGGACTAAACAGGGCTGGTGTGAATGCACCCCAAGATTTGGCAACTGTTTTTATGTCAGATGCAGTGCCGGCTCAAGCCTCCATGGGGCCCTAAGCAAAATTTGGTTTGGGGTCCTCTATTTCTGCTAATAATAATAATGGATTACTACAATCAACAGTCAGTTGATCAGATCATACGCCCACCTAACATAAATTAATTGCAACTCAGCCCTGTTTACATTATCCTATATGCATATATCATCTGGTACTAAAAGTAACAAAAAAAACACACACAAAAAAAACCCCACCAGTATGCAATGCATTTTACAGGAACAGTGTCATCTGGTTTATTATCTCTGATTCCAAAGAACTGCAGCAGTAATGTTCAAAATAATTTGTAGTGAAAATCAACAACAAACAACAGATAAAATAAGTTTGATGCATAAAAATAAATTCAATTGTGCAAAAACAGACAAAATAAAATAAAAAATAAAATATCAAGGAAATACAGTACTTAAAGTATATGAACAATTACTTGAAACCACATAAAATGGTTTAAAAAATAAATGTAAAGTTGAATAATTTGTTCTTAAAACTATGTAAATGTATGCAACAATTTGCAAAAGCTGAACTTAAAATATTAATAATTATAAAAAAATAAAAAATAAAATAAATTCCACTTATGGGGCCCCCTAGTGGCCCCGGGACCCTAAGCAGCCGCTTGCTTATGCCTTGGGCCGGCCCTGGCCAGATGCAACCACAGATCACCGAGCCACCACGGCCCTCTGTGTGGAGCAGAGAGCTGCCATCTAGCTGGGTGCCTGGGGGAGGAGATGGTGGGGGTTAAGGGCCTTGCTCAAGGGCCCAGAGTGGGGCAAATGAGGGTGGAGGCAGGTGTGGGTGTTTCACCTTTCCCACACACATTTTGATGTTGTCAGTACAGGGAGTTGAACCGGCAACCTTCCAATCACAGACCCAACTTCTCTAGGCTCTAGTCTCCCCCCCCCCACACACACACCAATAACCCAACTGAAAGCAGATGACTCTCAGCTACTAACACATCCAATTTTAGCTTAATACCTGTAACTGACCGAGTTATGACATTTTTGTGTTTTCTAAGAACAGTTGGCTGTGGTGGCCATTTTGAATGAAATTGACCCCAGAAGTTTTTTTTATTTTTTTATTTCCTTAAGCTTGTTTTTTATTATTCTGATTTTATAATGTTAAACTTTAGTTAAGTTTACAACTCTAATCCTCTCCTTTCTGCCACATTAAAACACCTCATGTCCAGTTGGTCTTGAATCATCATCCCACACATCAGTTTTGTTCTCTTGTGGTCAAGCAGATGAAATTTAATGAAAATGAAGTCTTCTGAGAGGAAATTATGTGCAGCTGATTTTTCTGTAAAAAAAACAACAACAACAAAAGTCTCCAAGATGGAGGCTGACTGATCAGCATTTATTATAACCTTGTTAATGTCAAATTTCCTTACACTCTGAGAATGCACCACACATGCTGACCGCAACCGCAGACACATGTGCAAACGAGTCGTCTCCCAGCGCCTGTCCACCTGACCCCCCCTCCCTCACACACACAGACTGAGTTGTTTAAACTGTGATCGTCAGGGAACTGAGCCTGGTTTGTTTTCTGCCCAGAAATTTGTCAGTTGCTTCATAAAAATCTTTACTTTTTTGACACCATGGACTTTTAAAAGCTTCACAGTTTCCTTTACGAGCTGGTGTGTTTGTCTTAATGAGTGCATCAAGTCAGAAATAAATAAATAAAACAAATCAATTATTTTTGCCTCCAGTGGAGAAACACCAGTCAGGAGTAATTAATCTCTAATGTCAAAGTTCATGCTCAATAATCTAGGTAAAAAAATCCAACAAAGTTCAGTCGGATCATCTGGACATTTTCATTTTATGTTTCGTCCTTCATCCAAAAGACTTCATCAGCCCGAGGAGCCACAACGCACTCAGTCCCACTAGCAGCACACTCCCATAGTGGACCAACAAGTTTGATGGTAATAAGATGGTTTCTGGGGCCCGCCCTCTCCCCTGTCGACTCCTCTTAAGCAGCCATAGCCAAAGTGGTTTAAAACTTATTATTGGATGGATGTGGATTATTGAGCATGAACGTTGATGATGTGAACCACTTTGGCTGCCTCAGAGGAGTCGACGGGGGAGAGGGCGAGCCCCACAAACCATCTCATCACCATCGAACTGGTTAGCCCACTATGTGAGTGTGCTGCTAGTGGGACTGAGTTTGTTGTTGCTCCTCGGACTGATGAAGTCCTTTGGATGAAGGACGAAACTTCTGATCTGTAATGCCTTGTAATGTAATTTCTGCATTTTATACTCTTTAACGCACACCTAATGTTACACGGAAACAAGATCCACAAAATATGGTATGGAGTTTTTTTTTTTTTTTTTTTAATTGCCATTTATAGAACGTTTTAGCCAAATTACATCTTGACAATTTTCTGGCGGTCGCTTGTCATTCACTTTATTTCTCTTTTCCATTCTGCTGCCAGACGGGCATATGGCTGCATTTACTCATAAAGGCAGAGCTCAGTCGCACAAAATTACTCATCATGGGGTTTTA